ATTGTTGGTATAACGTCTGTCTTTCGCTAAATACGAAGGCAGAGAGAAGGGCGACGATTTCCTCGGGTTCGTATTCCGCGAGAACATTTTCCAGTACTAATTCTGTCAAGACGAGCTCACTTGTTGAATTGACCTTTGCAATATTAGCTCTAAATATTTTAGCCTGGTAGAAGATAAGGGGAGATGACTTACCTCGCAGGCTACCCGTCCTTTTAGTAGAACATTTTGGTTGTCATCAATAAATCCCAATTCCTTCAATACCGAAACTCGTTGCCCATAATCGGGTAAAAGTTGTAAGTTCTGATCAGAGATCAATTGTTTCAGCTTGGAAATATTATCCTGAAGTAAAAATTCTTCGTGTCGCATAGCAAACTACAGAAAAATGTTAGCCGAAATTCACATCAGGAGGCCGGCGGAATACTAACGTGGGTAACAAAGTTAGGACACGAAAGACATGTAGAGTTCAATATAGTTGCAGTCTCCTGTTTCTTCGATTGACGAAGCTCAATGAAAGTCATATCATTAATCTTACTCCAATCGCCTTCGATCCATTCTGGTTTTTTCCAATCCCCAAGCAAATCTAGGAGCTGTGCCTGTAATCCTGCGATTGCTAACTTGTCTCCACGACGAACTGGGGGAATCAAATTTATTATAGTTTTGAAACCCACTCAATACTGAATACTGGAATGATGAACTCTCTAAGTTTCCACTCTTTTGGGGGAGTATTGGGTAAATCCAGAGAGGAGCAGGCCGGAAACGGAATCAAATCACCTATTTATATGTAAGTAATCTATGACAGTTTACTATGAATCTAATCCCGTGACCTACTGGAGGATTTTTTGTTGGTGTCAGGTTTAAGCCACAATACCTGGAGCAGAGGGCGGGTGCCCTGAAGTATTCCATCGTTCAGGAGTACGCCAACAGTCCTAGGTCCATTCTAAAGAAACTTGGTAAATATTACATCACCTAGATGTAGTTGGGGGCTGGGGAAACCAACTTCTTCTTGTATGGCAATTAGCCGTCCAGGAGTGAACAATCGCCTGCCATGGGTAGTCGCCAACGACCTCAGTAATACATCTCCCGACAAAACCTTTAGTCTGATGCAAGCACTATGACAAGCCTCAAGATCAACGCTACAAATCTCACAGTCTTCTTTTTTCAATTTTTTCAACCCCTCTTCAGACAAAGCAACCTGCCTTTCATGTTCGGGCATCATCGTTTGCGTCGTGTTCTCACTGAAGCTCCGCTTAATCATTTCTTCTATCTTTAAAGCTTCAACACGAAGAAGGTTGAGGATCATGTTGTATGTCAAGCGGAATTGACTTTGCAATTTCGTTGGGTCACCGAGGATCATGTGATTTAGCGTAGGGTACTATGAAAGGTCAGTAAGTCATCTCATAAAGGGCCCTGTAGACTAACAGCCGGCGCTTCATCCATCGGAGAAACTATGATAACAGTTCCCTGGGGGTCCAATCCTCGACGACCAGCTCGACCAGCCATTTGAATATATTCCCCAGGAAGAGATCACGGAATTGCTTCCCATCGTGTTTCCGGTAATCTCCGAAAATACCACAGTACGTGTAGGAAGGTTGAGTCCCATGGCAAATGTTTCAGTCGCGAACAATACTTTGACTAGTGTTTTGCGAATAGAATTTCAACAATTTCCTTAACGATTGGCAATAATCCTCCATGATGTACAGCTAATCCCCGAGCCAAAAGCTCCCTCATCCTCCTGATTTGTGGTAGTTGTCGATCCTCAGGCTTCAGTCTTGCAATACTCTTCTCAATGATCATGTGGATGGCACTCTTCTCAGTTGGTTGCAGTAATCTATATTGCTCAAGGCATCAGCATTCTCCTCGCATCTCCTTTCGAGAAAACAAAAATGCAAGCTGGTAAGAGTTCTTCTTTTTTCAAGTGTTGTACGAGGTGAACCCAAATGTTCTTGTCTTGAGCAGCGGTATTGCGACCTCCCCTCCCACCCCTGGCTACGGTTCCGCTGCTTTGGCCGCGTTGCTGTGTCCCTCCACGACCTCCCCGTTGATTTGGGCCTCCTCGCTGATTGGGCCTCCACGCTGATTTGGGCCTCCACGCTGATTGCCACCCCCACGTTGATTACCCGTGGGTGCTTGAGCTGGCGGTGGATCTTTCTCCTCGATAACGCATTATTCGCATCTTTCCAACCTTGCAACAGGAACTTTTGTCGGCGCTGACGATTTTATACATTGCTTATTGGCCCAAAGGTAATGTTCTAGAGGTACCGGCCTTTTTGGAGTTGAAATAACGTAAATATCCTTTTTTCTTCGTTCTTCCAACCCAACTTGCGAATTCTTTGGTATTTGGAACAGTTGCCGATAGCAAAATCAGATTTACATGGTCTGGAAGCATTATTATTACCTCCTCCCAAACCACGCCCCTCTGCCATCATAATTAGTGTTGAGAAATGTGCAAAACGATATTTAGTCCTACGTACCTCAAGATCGTTGACATAGTGGACCTCATCAAATATGACAAATTCCACATCCCGGATGATATCTGCACCCCTGTACAGCATGCTTCTTAAGATCTCGGTGGTCATAATCAAACAACTTGCTTCTGGATTGATTTGAACATCGCCAGTTAAGATTCCAACATCATCAAATACTTTTCTAAAGTCGCGAATTTCTGATTGCTCAAAGCTTTAATGGGTGAGGTGTATATAGCCCTATTGACGTAGATGATATTAGCCTCGGCTAGGAAGAAAATAGACGAAAATGCTTACTTCGTCATATGTTTTGTAGCAAGAGCAATAGCATACTCGGCAACAACTGTCTTCCCCTGCAGATGTATGTGCAGCAACAAAGACCGAATCACCATTTTCTAAATGATAAACAGCTTCCTTTTGAAAAGTATCCAACTCAAATGGCCACTGTGCAAACTTAGCTTGCGAGTCAATTTTATTAAGAGCTCTCTACATACTTCTTTTGCCATATTTGGTACAAGCTCGTGAAAATTGGTAATTTCTTTGTTCACATCGACCATATGTGCCCATTCTTTGGCCTTTGGCCTTGTCACTGCCAAAGGCAAGTTTCCTTTTGGTGCAAGCATGGGAAACTATCACAAAGGTTAGCTATCGAAGGAAGGATAGATTCCCCATACTCTGGGTGGAGGCTATACCTCAATTGGTAATAAATCATCGATACTGTCCAATTCTGCCAAAGGTTTCTCGGCTTTCTTTATGATAACATCCCCGGTCTCTTCTTTATGTCTTCTTTTTGGAGCAACATCACCGAATTTGAAGCCCTCTTCTTCCACGTCTACTTTTTCTTCGACATCCTCCGCTTCTTCATTCTCTTCGTCGTTATCCTTTCTTAGCTTGAGACCCCTGAACATTCCTGGTGCAACTTTTAGTAATCCATCTTTGCCAATTCTTTCTTCTACCAAGGACTCTTGTAATTCTAGTTCCTCTGGCCTCTCATTTGCAGTTCCAATATCAATGCCCCCAGGGCTGAACGGAAAGAAACCAGCCTTGCCTCTCACAAAATCGGCTTTAGAGGCAGGTTTGCGCAGAAGAGATGTAGAGTTTTTGGCTGTGATTGAGTGGGCGGGAACAGTGACCTCTCTATATCCTGTCACACGTCCCTCGAGACCTTCGCGAGTGAACCGTATGATGTTTCGAGACATTGTAGGAGCAAGTCCCATAAAAGAGACATAGTCGGGAGGGTCATCCCAACGCCTATTATTAATTAGTACATTCGTGAGGATTGCGTTGAGTTGAAAGGATAATTTACTGCTGAAGCTGATTTAACCATTTCGTAGAGAATACATGAGAAGGCGCAAGGAAATCCGTCTGAGTTTGCTTGTGTAGCTCGCAATCGTCAGGCTTGACCCTCTTGCGGGGTTGGCATTCATCAAGAATGCTGTCAATCCAACCATCATCTTGTAAGTTTATACAGGACAAAGTTTGCATGGCATCGATCAAAGTAGTTGTAGATGACATCACTTCAAAGCATTGAGTTCCAAAACTGTCTGATAGAAACGTTGATGTCTGAGGTTACAACTTGAGCTCTTCAGGCCGTCACCAATGCACTAAATGCTTACGTAACCACAATGAGGTTATATTTACAATACAAACATGTATATACTGGAGCTGCGCTGCGCTTAGCAACGCCCTGAAGCTCACGGCTCATAGGTACTCCTACTCTACAAGCTCCTTTCTCGCACTTGTAGCCTAGTATAACTTCAGCTTCGCCGTAACTCCTGCAAAGTAAATTAACGCCTTCCTTTCCTTAATTTCGAAAGGCAATCGACGAAATTAAAAGTCAAGACAGCAGAATTCTTTATTTGATACAGGGATATATATGCTTTGTTAGGTCATATTCTTCATGTGAAGTTGTCTAGAAACTTCCCGAATTGGGAACGGATAACTGCTTGACAGTCAAGTCTCTACATTCAAGCTTGAGCTGCTCAGCACGATGATGACTCAAGGATAACTAAGCAAATGCTGAGCGACTATGCCACTTAACCCTGAAGTAAACTTCAGGGCACATGTAGGTACATGTAGCTGCTCTAGAGTTTCATTACACTGAGATGCACATGTGTGTAGATTGTATACATCGCTTGAATGTACCAATATACACCTTGAGTACGATCATCTCATGCATGTATCAAACCTATTACTGGCGATATCAGTATGGAGCTTCACTTTCAACAAACTTTGACGGTACTGCATGTACATGTATCCAACCAATCATTGGCCCATGTATGTACATGTATATAGCTACCAAATAATCCTTGGCGCTGAGTGATTGGGCTCGACAACCCATGCATCTAAAGATCTTATTTTATGGCGTCATAAGGATCGGCTTGATGCCGGAACCAAACCTCTCAAGATTAACGATGAATTTACTGGATTAAAGATATTCTCTATATAAATTCTAATGATAGACGTAATTGTATAGACATGTTTGTCTACCTACCAGTCTGGTGGTGGCCCGAAATCTGCCATGACTTCCATTTCATCCTCGAATCATCACCAAGTGATGTACTTGCCGCAAGTGCAGTATTTACCGATTCGTTGGTTTTATCCTTTCCTGCTTCCTTTGAAAGTACTCGTGAAGCATCCCCAGAAGCCGTGCCCCCCCCCATATTCATTAATGCATCCAACTCTTCATCATCTGGGCCGACACCAAAATCCTCATCATCGCTACCGTCTTCTACACTGCCTGACAGGAACAACGCGCCCGATGAGTTTGCATGAGCTTGCCCAATAGAAACACCCTGGGTCTCTGTCCCTGTGACTGGCTGTTGAGGGAAGCTATAGAGGTCGCTGTCGTCTTGATTATCTGGTCGATCCTTGCGTGGTTCTTCGCTAGGAATTTCGTCTCCGTCTTCTGCCCCTACCCGAAGAAGTCTTTCCTTTCGTTTACTTTCTTCGATCCAATTCAGTCGTTGGTCTCTCATACTTCTTGAGTGTCCCAATTTCTCGATAATTTTGAGAGTGTCACGGAACTTTGCTTTTTTATAAAGATCATCCGCCCAAAACTGGTAATATGAGAGAAGTCTAGCGGTGTCGCGGTACTAGAGCTCGGAGTTAGAAAAAGTAGTTTTTCAACGAGGTGATATATGGGTTGGCGTCGTGCATTACCTCGTGACCTTTACCCTTGAATTTGAGTTTTCTCGGAGCGTCCTGTCTCAATTTTGGTATTCCCAGGCTTGACATGAGCCTTCACGGTGTTAACAAAATTCACCAAAAAGACAGCAAGTAATGTTTAGAATATACCTTTCCTCGTCTAACTTTACTGTAACTCTCTTTCTTCTAATTTTTACCTCTTCATCAATGCCCAATGTGTCTTTATTTTCGGCAGGAGCGGTAGGCGCCCGAGTTGATATATCGATATCGGAAATCTCAGCATTATAGTCGAAGAGATCATCTTCCATGTAATCATCCCCAAGAGCTGTTGTTGTATTTGAGTCTACTACAGGCATATTGTTGATAGTCGACCGTTTGGTTGAAAACTGGGTCGAAAGTTCTCAAATTATGGGACTCAATGTGACAAAAGACGCGTGGAAAAGCAAGAACGCGTCTCCAGAGCAGCATCCTTAATTGGACTGAATATAACACGTGATAGGTGTAGCCCAGGGCACGCTATCCCAGATGGGGTTGCGGGGGTTTTAACGTCAACTAATAATTACGGGTGAACTCAGCTCTAGTATATGCGATAAAACATCTCAACATTCTCCCTCATAATGGCCATTCCTCCAAAGCAACTTAACACTGACTATCCAGTATGTCTTTCCCCCTGTATTCTTGTATTCCTTCAATGGTTCGTGGTCTGGTTTGGCTAATAACATACTCAGGTCATTGACACAGATCCGTAAGCTACTCAATCGCAACCCAAATCTCAAACAACATGACTGACATGTAATTTACAGGCACTTTTGGCGTGTTATCCGCTATGCCCGACCATCCGACTACGCCGTAGGAGCTGGTACTGCGGCTGTTGGACCTGCCCTCTTCTGGTTATGGGAGAAAAAGTCCCCCGCCATGCTCCCTAAGGGTGCATTCGCACAGAGCATGCGCCTTGCCGGAGCCCTTGGAGTCACCGCTGGTTTCTTAAGATTCTACCTTGGATCATCCTGTATGCCTATTCCAGATATCTACAGTCTCCTCCAGACCAGTCCAAAAAAAACTGATATACCTTAAATCGGCAGTGCGCTTCTGGGGCTGGACCGAGAACCAACGGGAAGTGGACATGGATATGAAGGAAATGGTGGAAAAAGTAAAGAGGAAAGAGCCACTTTATGGAGAGTCTATCTTGACTCCGTACATGCAGGGAGTTGCCGCTCGCAACTCTCGATACTCCCAGGTTTTTTTCCATGTGTTGCCATGGTTCAACTTTGTCAACCACAACCAGGTGAGGCCTTCGAGTATCCCTCTTGATAAAGCAATTCCGCCTAACAACATTGATAGCACGGTGTAGACACGACCAAGTACTTTCTTGCTGCTGAAGAGGATCTGGAGAAAGAGCGTGTCCTCCGAGAAGGAAAATAGATATTCAAGCAACAAAGATCATTTCCCAACCAGTACAGAAATGTACATACTCACAATCTTGTAAAGAACGGTACCCTTTCTTATTATTTAGAACTCTTTCAGTAAATCCTGTAAGCTTTTACCAGCCTCACTACCATCCCACACAAACCTAGTATCTGTTCCACCAGTTGCTCCTGTAACAATGGACAATCCTACCCTGGTTGCCTCGACGCGGATTTTTCTTGTCTGTTTTTCAACATTCCTCATCTCATTTCCTTGGGCTATTTGCTGCCACTTATCGCCCATGCATCGGATTTCGTTTACAACACTTCGCTCCAAACACCAGCAAAGATACAGTTCCATCTCTTCTACTGAGCTAAACTTATTCTCACCCATTAATCGTGCAGAGACTCCGTCATGCGATGTGTTGATGGTGAATCCAGTCCCATACAACGGGTGTCCTAACATTGTCGACATTTGGATTTCAACCTTCCAGCCACCCGGCAACACAAGTGTTGCTTCGCTCTCTAATCTTCCCATAAACGTATCTACGGCAGATTCCACGTCCTTAATTTCGGGTTGTCGGCAGTTCTGTAAAGGCTTCAACGTGTATTCGCCGTGTAGACCCGCAGACTTTGCGATGCCAATTAAGGATTTAAGTAGGCCTTGCAAATGACTCAGGTGTTGATGGTGAATGAGATGTGTTGCAATGGGTCTTACCAAGAGAAGCGGAGGCACAGGTTGTTTTCTCGGGCTCAGTGCAGGTGGTGGCTTGCTTCGCTTCTTGAGACTCATTCTGTGATTATATGATAACAATATCCGAAAGGCCATTGCTACTCCTTGTGCCAACCCACTCTCCGGACTGTGAACATCGAGCGTCGTATCATCATCATCAAGAGGAGCCTGTATATTCATTAGGTTTTTCTACAGGTGACGAGAATCAGTGATAACAAACTCACCATATCTATTATGATGCTTCGGTGTTCCCCAAGTTGAAGTGTCACGCCGTCCTCGCTGGTTCTTATTCCCTGATTCGCCATGATCCTCGCCTCTCTCATAATTTCAAAGAAAAGTTCGTCCTCATAAACAAAGTTTCGTGCGCGCTCAATCACATCCTTAACGGATGTAGATTTCTTGTTTCCGCTCTGTACGCTGACTCCCTTAACCTCTCCGTTCTCTATAACACGAACTCTAAGCATCGCCTTCCCAAGGGACCCGGTGGTAGCTACGTCGTCCATTACAACGCTTCCATCTTCACCCCTTCTTAACGCCCCTATGCCCTTGCTCTTGTACTCTGCTGCCGATTCCGCAAATCCATATCTCACACCCAAGGTTTGTCGTTCTCGAGGTATGCGTGTTATAACCCAACCCTCGTCGCGAATAGCCAGAACTTGTTCCCAGTATCTGCTCTCCTTCTCGACCTCTCGTCCAAGCTTCTCAGACGCACTCAATAGGGCGTCTGCCGCCGAGTTTAAACCTTCCATCTTCCAAGCTCTTGAAACAATCTCGTCATCTTTGATTGCTTTCGGATCGGGTTTGCGCTGAATCTTATCGAAACCTAAACTACCAGTGGGCACGGCCTCTTTAAGAGCCGGAGACATGGTCAAATTGCCGGTCTCTGGATTATGCAAAGATACGAGAAAAGATATGTAATCAAGGCCCAATAAAGCTTCATTTAAAGCATGCCTATTTTCAAATTTACTCGATATTAGTGACTTTGAAGATCGCACTCGAAAAGCACTAAGCACGCACATACCCTACCAAAGCTGCCATCTTCACCTTCGCATTCCTCAGTTCCGTCGCGCTCTCTTGATCACCGGCTGTCTTATCCGCAGTACCTCCATTAGCTTTATTTTCGGGGTCGCCATGAAGCTCATCGTCCTGCGGCTCGTCTTTCCCGGCAGCTATCTCCTCCTCAAGTAAGCTTTCGTTGACATCGCGGAAATGGCCACGCTGAGCTTGTATTCTATTGATGAGAGACGAGACTGAGGTTTCTTCAAGATTCTCTTCCGGCCATGATTTCAATGAGAGTAAAAGTTGATCTGCATTCATCACTGCGTATTTCTTACTCGGTTGGCGGGTACTTTGGCGTTCTTTGGGTGTGCTTTGGGTGTGCTTTGGGTCGCAAACTGAAGTGGGAAACGTTGAAGACCTGAGCTTTATGCGGAGCCGCACCTAATCCTAAAATGGAAATGACGGCTCGCTCCGTGAATCTCACCATCCTGTTGCCATCGAGCTAGCCAGGCCCCGAGTGAGAGTCAATTCCTCTATTCAAATGAAAAATAACTCCAGAGTACATAGTTGGACCTAGACAGTAAAGAAACCCGCTAGGGTTAGGGTTGCTTGCACAACGACCACAACCACCTTCTACATAATAACCCTAACCCTGGGAAATATCGTACTGTCAGGTAACTAGAGTATGTGCTTACTTCGTGTAAGTACATGTACTCTACATACTCTACATAGTATGTATTAGGTCCCTATCATAGAGAAACAGTAATAGTTTAGGGTCATTTCACTACACATGCAGAGACTCAAGCTGCAAGTTACATATCCCTTCGTGCGTTTTCACGACATGTGGCGATTGGTGGCTCACCATACAAATCGTCGGCTGGCGGTGCAAGATTGACCCACTTGTCACGCAAAATTGCTCTAAAAGGTAGGTGAGTAGACTGTTTTTCATTAAAATTGTGTCTATCACGGCGCCGTCATGGGCCTAATATGTTGTGATTACCGGGAACAGACGAAGGGATTAGAGCGTATTTGCCAACCGTCAATTTCAACTATTGACACTTCAAACTTGACAGTTTCGGGAGGCAAAATTGACAGTTCCCCGCAGTGGCCAAAATCGATCTGGTTAACGGTATGACAGAATAAACCCCGAAAACCAGACAACCCATCATGCTACCTGTGAAGTACGCTGTTAGAACTGAAAATTCATACCCATGATACTAGCTTCGGTAGTAACAAAACTAGGTACTTGTGATCCTCCTGGTATATCTCACAGCACGCCGCCCCACCGAAATTCAAAATTAACAGCCCCGGTTGCCATTTCGGAGCCCCACAATTTGTAAATTCTTGAAATTGACGGTTGGCAAATACGCTCTATTGTCAAGAATGCTACAGTGCTGCGACATTAAAATAATAATAATTATATTCAAGAAACAGACATATTTATCAAAAGATAATATAGAGAATCATCTAGCACTGCTATTACATTATAATAAATATATATTAGAAGAAATATAGTCATTTTGGGGGGGTAGCATTTCTCTTAAGGCGGTTCTACTATGGTAAGTCCTATAATAATTTATCACTACGGTACCAAGAACATCCCTCTTTTTCGCACTGTACTTGTAATCACTGGGAGCAGCTTAAACTTACATATATAGGTAACTTTGTACTATTTTAGTGCAGGAGACCTCTCTTTCTTCGACATTCGAAGAGTTCGAGGCATAACGCAACGATTCTTGTCTTGTAATCTACATAGCCGGGACTTAATGCAGCAGATACTCGATAGTAACGTCTATACATGTATTGTTAGTCAATATCTTATATATTTGTACGGACAAACGGGCCCCATCATGGCGTTCGATATATATAAATTATAAAGAATATGGCTCAATTCTAGATACGGCGGAAGCTTTTATACCTCCTACAATGGTATTCTCCTATAAGGGTACTGAACGTCTCCGGTCCCAAGCATACCCTTATACCACGCTTTCGTTATAGTTGGCATATTTGAAACTTGAATACAGCGAAAGCTTGCTATAACGGTACCTTCTATAAGGGTAATCTCTCTATAACGGTAGCACTTCTCGGTCCTTTTTGCCCGGATTTCAGCACAATCACCTCTTATATAAGGGTAATCTAGATCTCTCTATAACGGTACCAAATTCCGGTCCCGAGCGTACCGTTATAGCAAGCTTTCGCTGTAGCAATATATATATATAAACTTTGAGTGGCAGAGCTGCAGAGCCTCAAGTACATGAATAATTTGCTAAACCGTCTCTCCTTAAGGCCTAGTTTTCGATTTTTATTATACCGATGAGAGTTTAGTTCACACACCTACCTACATGTAGGCTCGTACCCAGTCCTCCTACCAACACCTACTCATTGTATACGTATACAGAATTAACTGAGCTACATAATATATCGACAATAGCGCTACCAGGCGTCGTTCCCGGCCTTGTACTACTCCGCATCAATACACCTGTCGGCCCGGCCTGGTCCAGGCGTCTGTCATACAGTAACTAGGAATTTACGTCATTGCGTCAATATCGATTTAATTATGATTAAATGCATTACAAGCTTCCCCTTCGTTTAATAAATATAGAGCCTAGCCCGAGCAACAAGAGAATTAACAGGTATAGATACGGCCCGCTGCATCACGAAGAAATTTCACATGAATGCACACCACCCAATATACCTACATGTATTTTATGTTAGCATCGTTCAAAGCTTATAATTAAATAAAAAACAGAAGGGTATAATTTACATTGCACAAAGATTGCCCGGGTCGACGGCTGATCGCAATAATTCCTGAACCTGTCCCTCTACTGACAGCGGAACAGTTTCGCCTTGGAAGAGACCTCGGAGTTTGTTCTGAATGTTCTTCAGGACATCCTTAGGCGTCTCGGGAATTTTTATATTTGCTTTTTTCTATAATTGAGTTAGACCCTCAATCAGAATCAAATTCTTTTAAATACCATGCTTACCTTCTTAACCATATCAACGGCTGGATCATGTAGGAAGGTTTCTAGAACTGTCATAAGAGTGTCTTCGTTATTCCTCAATACCCTAACGGTCGTTTCACAAGTTCTCCGGAAGGTGCCTATAAAGGAAACATTGTAAATGCATGTATCTAAAGGGTCTCTTAAAAGTGCATTTTACCTTCATATCCTGTCACTCCCAGTGCATCAACCATGTTGTGTGTGAGACGGAACGGCACTCTTTCTGGTTTCTCAAATCCCAGACCCTGTAGTTACAGTATTCTCTTAGAAAGACCAACTACTTGGATGATGTCAACACTTACCTTGTCAAATAGACAGTTGAAATCAACGTGGAGAGTATCGCCATTAGTTTCATCGAAGAGAATATTCTCTCCGTGACGATCACCGAGTCTATCTCAGTCAGAAAATTGTTCATCAACCAATCAAGTGCCGTCCCATACCCCAATATGTGCCCAACCATCGACATAACCGCTGAGGTCCTCGAGTAACCGACCCTGCTGGCAAACCAAGCAGCTGGCCCTGAAAACATTTCAACAAACCATTCATGGAATACGGGAGGATATCTAAGGTGAATTAATATATTTCATAATTCAAACCCAATGATAATCTATCAGTTTACCTTGGAAGCACGGAATCCGTAAATATATGAGACTTCGAGGGATCTGAGCAGGCTTTATCGAGAAGAACACGAATTTCGGAGTACTAATGTGTATGTCAAATCAATATTCTTAATATTTAAAGAGAGAGAAATGGATTATTCAATTGCTAACCTGCACAATAATTCCCTTTGTTTTATATGATTTCAAAAGGATGTCCCGAAGCGGTCGTACGTTATTAACCCACTCAATAAGACCGCATTCTTCGTTCAAAGGGGTGACCATATATGTTCGAATATCTTGCGATTCATTAGCAAATTGACAGCTCTTAAAAAATCTAAGGCCGCGAATATTATTTCTTACATAAACGCCTGCGACTAGAATCGGTGTCTTTCTTCAAGAAACGGTTTATCATGTTGTTAAATTCCATCAAACGAGCGTCTTTACGTAGATCGTCTTTTGGCTTACACAAAAATGGATACATTTTACCATCAGAGCCACGCATCTTAATTTTCGAGGCTTTTGTAAAGACGACATGATATCCGCATCGTCGGCGAACCCTGAGAGAATTTTCAGTGATTCGTGCCAAAAACAACTCGCGAGAGCCTCAAAGACACAGCCTTACTGGTAAATAACGGGATGAAGTGTACGTACCTGCAATAGTAGGCGCAGATAGATTAAATGGAACATGGTTTTTATAGATTCGGGGGTTGGGGGAAGTGTCACTGTGAGAACTGTTTGTAAAGGTACCACAAGCATGCAAGGTGCTACGGAATGATTAAATCCAAGGTCTTTCGTCAAACTGACAGTGACTGCTTTCGAAGGCAGATCAGCGTCACAGAGACGCAGTAACTGATCTGTGAGCTTTTGCGACTGCAATATTAAATTCTTCAACTCATTGTCTGCTTCTCTCCGGCCCTTAGCAACATAATTTTCTTTTATCCTGTTAATTATCCTCGCACCACGACTGGACCTTTCTCTTGATGTTGACTTGCACACCGCTGTAAGTGACCAGAGGGCCTGTCTGGGATGCGTTGAAACAACCTTTACAATGATGTTCTGGAGATGCGTGTAGACCTCTTGGCTAGGATGGACAATTCGAGATATTATTTGGGGAAATGCGGTATAAAACATCCACGCGGGTAGCCTCTCGCTATACTTTTGTACCGAGAGGTGTAGATTGGTCAAATTCTTGAGTCTCTCTCTTAAAATATGACTTCTGAAATCCGCACTTCCGTGAACTTCTTCCAATTCCTGGTTCTCACCTAGATCTAGCCAAAGGGTTAATACTCGAGGCATTGTCTGGAATATATATTTTGTTCCGAATGCAAGAGCACGAAGGTAAGACTGGCAGACTAATCGTGCTGTTTCTCCATTTAAGAAGGGCTGGCTTTGACTGAGTGGCGCAATCCCCTTCTCGGCCTCATGAAGCTTATTATAATGCCGTCCGAGAAAGTAATGGCCTTGCTCCCATCTAACAAAGTATGATGATGCCTTGGTGTATTTCGAGATGATCTCTTTTGAATGAGTTTGGCCTGCCCCATCCAGCCACCTTGCTAACAAAAGAATAGCTTTCGCTGAGACAATATTTTGAGGGTGGTTCTTTCCAGATTGTATAGTCTCAGTGATAGAGTCGTTAGTTTGTATCATGTTTGAAGAAATTGCCCCCTCAAGATTTTGTATAGCTTTCCGATGCTGGCCTTCGTGCCACAATAGTTTTGCATGTTCTACAGTCGCGAGTGGTGCACCGAGTCTTGAGGCATGGAGAACCGAATTGAATGATTGATGTATTTGACCTGCCTTCCTTGCAAAGCGAGCACTAGCGAGCCAAGTCGATGCAATATTGTCCTTAGCTAATTCGGCACTACGGCAATCAGTTTTGTCCAAATGCATTTTAAGGATAGTGTTTTATACCCGGAAAGCTGGAATACAGCCCGACGAAGAGCCAGAATGTATTGCTTATGATTCGAGTAAGTCCCCATCACATCAAGACGCCTCTCTAGATTTGCCGAGAAACTTGCTTTATCAAAGGTTCCTTGCTGTAATGTCAAGCTGATTTCCTCAATCTCTGATAATGAATGAAGTTTGACCATTGAATCATGGCATTGACGTAAAGACCCCGTAAGAGATTCGGACAACCTGCTTACGACATTTTCCCGCGCTCTGGCTATCTCCTTTGCAAATGTATCCGTGTCTTGCTTGCGCAGTGCAGATAAAGCGCTACCTATTTTGATTTCATAAGACGATTCTATCGAGCCCTCAGACCTCATGAGATATTTATCTAACACGTCCCATTTGCCAGAAATCCAGGAGGCTTCTATGGCAAATTCTAGTATCCTTGGGTGGGGATTTGGAGAGTTGGCCATCATGCCGTCAGCCTGGTTTAAAAGCATTTCTAAATGTAGCGTTAGGAAACTGATAAAACGTGCGGATAATAATAAAGCCTACCATGTTGCCCGGACTCTTTCAAGCAGGTTAGAAGATTTGTCTGAATTTCCAAATCATCTGGTTTCTCGCATAAGAGAAGTTCATACCAACTCTGTGCAGCTGTCCATCTTCCAGCCTTCCGATGTTCGAGGATTTGTTGGTCGTGATTGAGAACAGGCAATTTCGTCGAAATGCCCTCGATTCCGTCTGGTTCGTCAATCTGAGTATATATATGCTGTAGCCTCTCATATAAAGGCGTCATCTCATCTTCACGTGTAGTATCTCTTTTCTGGCGAATGTGTTGTTCCCAATAAAAAAGAGCTCTTGCATATGATTGGCATTCAAATGAACGTATACCCATCATGTCTGGAGGTATTACAGAAAGGACTGATTCGACCCGTTCGACAGCAACATCTTTCCCAGTCTCATCTTCTAAAGCAACGTGACGATTTTGTTGCCTTGCTCGTTGAACCTGAAGCGATGAGTTTAATTTTTTCTTATCGCGTAGCCACCTTGTTAAATGGTCTATGAGAAGAAAAACCGTCTATTGACATTAGTTTCCCTTCCAAATTATGATGACTCAAAACAAACCTCGGTGCACTGCTTAAGATTTTCTGAAGCCATAATGCTTTCTGAACCCTCCGTAGGTCGTAGCACGGCCAATATTTCGCTGGCAATGTTTTTCCGATCACTGTCTTCTCCCGCAATGATGACATTCAATGTGACAAATGGTAACAGAAACAGAGATATAGAGATATCTTGGCCCTTTAACATCCGACCGCATGTCGAAAATATACCTTCAGCATTCACACCTCTAGCCTTCGATAACAAATCCATAAGTAATAAATGAAGCCAGCTGCGATGTGTCTTGTTCAGAGAGAAAACTGGGTACGAACAAGATGAAACCTGGGCTTTCTGCTGCAGAATATATTTAGATCCCAGAAACGGCGTCAGAGCACTCCGGGCTGTTGTGCTAAAGGATGCCCATCTTTCAGCTGCGACTATAGACTGAGGAACTCGTGCGCCACGACTGCGACTAACATCAACTCCTACTTCGATAAATCTTAGTAGCTCTTGCATTCCAAATGCGAGGAAAGCCTGGACTTTCGTATCAGTAGCTGAAAGAAATGCCTTTACAACCTTCTCCTCTAGGAAAAAAACAACAAATTCAACACTCTCGTCTGCCTTCTCGAAATTATGTAAGACCATCATATCGCGTATCTCTCGAGTTGTTTCCACACGATTGGGGTCCACGGCTCCTATCAAACCGAGTGATTCGGCACAAAGGCGTTGGATATTCAGCTGAACCTTAGGATTAGAGTTTAAATCCGTGTTTTTGAATGCAACAACAACATCCAAAAGTGTCCTTATTAACTGAGGAACCACCTCGTCAGGCTGTTCATTTATGGCCGCTGTATGTATGAATGCTTGGTTTTCCCTAATGAACCCTGTTAACTCAATCAATGCCTGTTCTACAACAGCCACATTTTCATGGCGACATCGCCGTGAAAGAAGGTCGAAACGTTGTTTTACACCAATGGAACATCTCCATTCTTTAAGTTGTGTTTCAAAATGCGAAGACGATGGTATCAATGCCAAAGAAGGAATCATGCCAACATCTTTTTCGATAGTCCGGGAATATTTATTGAAAAAGTGTGTAATGATTTCTTGAGCTCTCTTCCTTGCATCGTCCTGAAAATCATTCCAGTATTGCAATATCACTGAGAAAGTTTGAACTAGCAATGGACTGATTACTTCTGCGGGTAAGGTCGTTATGATTGCACTCCAAGCATATAAAGCGCTTGTTCGCAATTGTTCGGTTTCCAGTGCTGATTGTAAACAGGCGCATATCTTGACAAATAGAGTTAGAATAGACTTTTAAGACGAAAAAAGCGAATGCTATAAGCAAGGGACTGGATTACCTGCGGTAGTGCGCCACTTATATACCCCCCGGCCAATATAACCATCTCCTCAATCGCTTTTATAATACGAATTTTTTCTACCATCGGGGTAGGAGCTTCTTTTAACAATGTCATGAATTCGGTGAATATTCCGAGAACATTTAATTTGAAAAATTCGTCTAAAGGTGCTTCCTTGCTCTCGGCTGATTTCGTTGTTCGACTAAGCTCAGCTACCAATGCTAGTGCTCTATGTATCTATTTGGACTTAGTTATCTAATTTCTTAAGCCAGAATTTACGTTCAAAAGCACAAACCGGTTCCTTATTCTCTTGGTCTGCATCGCCAGCAGCTTTCAACAGTTCAGTTGCAAGAGTGATTTTCTCAGGTCTTACCAGCTCCCTCAATGAACATGACTTAAAATTCTCTGAGGCATTTATAAGTAGAGCCATTGTCGTTTGTTCGATATCTCCCACGTCTTGGGCAAGAAGAAGAGCAAGAATAAAGGTCATATTTTCATGGCATACAAACCAAGCACTCTTACCACATGCCTGTGCAACCCTTTCAACTATTTCTACCCGTTTCCACAATATCATGTAAGGTAGTGTATATGTTTGAGTGGTCCCCAGGAAGTCGTCTACACTGATCCCCAATATATCTGAAAGGTATCCAGCAATCTGCGGTTTGGACTGTAGCTGTTTAACAACACTTGCGCTGATGCTGCGCCAATATGGTGTGAGTAACTGCTTAGGCGTTACATCATGTATTTCTGCGAGGAATTGGATCTAGCACAGTAAGTATTGAAGATATAAGATAATCGATCAGAAATGGTTACTCTACTTCGTTGTAAGCGACCCCGATTATGAACGAATTCGCATGCCCAAGATACTCTACCAGCCGTATCAGTGAAAAATTTAGCTCCGAGCCTGCCGATACTCTTGGAGAAAATTATCAGCCCAAAACTCTGTTGGATTATGCACGAACCTTACCTCCCTATTTGGCTCCAAGCCAAAACAAAGGTTTCTTGATACTGCAGCTCATCACTCATCGACTTTGCTCGTAAATAACGAAGGACCTCTATCCTATTCTCTTTCAGAAGTCCTTCATCATGACTAAACCCGACAAAGGATGGCAACGTTCGTCTACAGAAAACACTATTAGCTCACACTTATCACAAGAATATATATTGGTAAAGTATACCCAGCGGCAATTCTAATTTCCCTTCTTGAACTCTTCAATGATTCAAAGCAACATTTCCCAAATGCTCCAAATAAGCTTAGATGCTTTAAATTTCTTGTATGATTCAAAATCCGTCTTATACTCATCAAGCCCCATACCCTCACTCTTGAAGAACCCCGGAAGTTGTCCAACTTCTGAAGAATCTCCAAAACTGTGAATAGCACATCATTCCGTTCATCGGCATATGATCTGGCTGCTAAAGATATTCCTGTGGTTTCAGCGTCACAATAGGAGCAATAATAGTGGGTACATTGCAAGTTCCTTTGATCAAGCTCTAGGCCCTCAGTCAGATTGCCGGCCAAGATACAAGAGATGAGCCCAAGAGATTGAACAACAGTGCATTGCTCATTCTCATCGATTTTATTGAAAGCGTCTCCTAACACCACCGCGCTCAACCCCTGTAGACCAGCTACCCCTCGGTATCCCAGAAGACGGAATGTCTCTAATACCAAAGGGTGGGTTTCCACACTGGGCACCTCGTCTTTTATCATGAGCCTAGGACGTTTTCTACGGCCGCTGTTATTGTCTTTCTGCTCCAAAGATTCTGATATCTCAATGGTCCTGAGCCGATCGGCCTCCTCCTGTAATTTTTCGTTTCTAAAAATCCACCCCCCTTCTGTACCTGACTGCAAGAGAGATATCGCTTTTCTTGTAATCTCGGGATCTTTAGAAACATCGAGGACAAGACGTATTACTACCATCTATGAGATAATCAGCCAAGATTTTCTCTATCAGGGGTAAACCACTTAGCAATATACTTGAAGATCGCGATCCAGAATTTCCCATGTTATATCATTATTCATAGCTTTAAATGCCACAGGAAGAGCCTGCTCCCTCAAAAGTTCATCAACCGAGAGCGCGTCGCCTGCGACTAATAAGACTCCAAGAAATACACTTGCCAGAACAAGTTCTGTGGGTTGGTTTGCTTGCTCCACCAGTTGGCTCAAAGTCTCACTAGCACACCGTACTATAAGCAGGCATAAATTATCGCATTTTATGCTCCCATATTGCGATCTTGGTATTTGACCCAGGGAACTCCCTAATGCCTCCAAGATATTGATGCGGATTCTAGAAACTTTTGTCTGCAACATCGGAATGGACTCCCAAATTCTCATGCTTTTCCATAGCTTTGAGATGTTTTGCAAGAACCACAAGAAATTGTCTGCGGCAGTTCTTAGTGTAGGAATATCATCGCTAGAAGCAGAAATCCTGGAAAGTACGGCAAAAAGATGAATGGCTACACAAGCTGCGTTTTCTGGATCCTTAATAACAAATCTGAGGGATTGATGCGTCACTGGGGGAGAATTTGTGGGTAGTTGTGATAGATTGATCGAAAAGTCTTCGTCTGGGAGCTCCAGCCTAAAGGAATTGGACATAGCAGCGGTGATTTTCGCGGTGCTATGGAACGAATCGATGATACCTTTATAATTAAAATCCAACATCTCTATCAGCGATCGCTTAAGAAATATAATCACTACCAGGAAAAAGTGTCAAAAAAAAAAAGCGTACACGTAACACAGCTCCGACAGTACCCCATCACCGTTGTCAGATATTTCCACGCCTCAGACTCCTTCGCTGCAGCTATAAGGATAGCTTCTATTGTCTGTATTAGTTCTAGCTTTATGTTTTCCGCAACTTTGTGCCCAAGAAGCGGAAACAATCTAGGTAATAACCATAAGAAAAGTATTGGTCGATTCGGTTCGGCGGCATGCTCAACAGATGGTTGGCAAAATAGCACCTGTGGTGATCTTTGAATTGTTAACCTCACCACAAGTAGGCTGTTCGTTGCTTGAAGCAGTAAATCGCTGGTAGAAGCGAAGGGGTCTCCATTTAATAGGACGCTGATTCCAGCTTCCATGACCACTTCCACAACTTTGTAGTTTATCCTCACATTGTCTTCGAGGCTTGCGTCTGAAGGGTCCCCATCTGTTCCCATTACTTCCGCCAGCAACTGCTGAAATGTGTCGCGATCAACCATTCGAGAGGAACCACTTCCATTTTTTGATAAATTTTGGACAATAACTGCGACAGAAGAGGGTGGAGGCTGATCTCCATATTGAGAGCCTGAGAATTGCAGAGGTGGTGGCGGCATAGAGCCAGTCACCGCAGCCAATGTTTTTCTCCTAACAGACATTGACAGACACAGATTTTCCTCAACGCAGGACTTGATGGATGATGATGAGGAGAGAGAGACGGCGAAAACGTGGTGATACTGGGAAGACGCGTGCAACTAGGATGACGAGAAGGGTTAGGGTTTCTCTTCTTATCAGCCTTATCAGAGGTTATCCACTCTCCACGTGACTCTTCCAATATCGAGTGACCAATTGTGATAAGAATCCCTCTAGCTAAATAAAAATAACTCGTTCTACAATTTTTAGTCTGACTTTTATCACATCATTGTATACTACATGTACTTAGTGTACAGCGATAAGTAATAAGTGATGGAACGCCCTGAGATACAGTTATACCTGCAAACACCGTATATTGGTGGCGTTTTACCCAAAACAGGTATCACTGTGTCTCAGCCCGTTCCATCACTTATTACCTACCGCTGTACATAGTTTGGGGAGTGAATTTAATCCATACATAATGATTTTAAAGCACCCAGAAGTATGTAAATATATACCATACTAGTGAGGAGCGGCCTCCGGCCGCATATAAAATCAACCATCAGCGCGAGGAACCGTCGAAAACTGAAAGAGAATATATAAAGATCCAGGAAACTCACAGTCCTGTTCAATGGCTCGGATAAACATACAGTTCGGTGTAATGATGTGAAATAAACACCGATCCCTCGCACGCAGTCGGGGCCACCTACCGCTACGCGGCATACTAAGCCCCTCCTTGCTCACGTAAGGTTGTAGTTTTGGAAGAGCAGAAATAGTGATGGGAGGCATGAAGGTCAATAATCTTGGTCAGAAGGCTATTATATATCATGACAGTAGTGCTTGAGGTATGTTTGCCATTTAAAATGAATGTTTGAAAAGCATGCATGTCGTCTCCCTTAATGAACCCAATTCTTTGTCTATTGACAGCCGTAACTCGCCAGACTACAGAAATCGGAGGAAGCTAAACATCCAATAGAAACCTTTCGTGATGACAGAGATACCTGACTATTCTATTTTTTATATATATATTTATATTTAGACATGTAGTTGTATGCAGGTACATGTATATGTAGTCTCGTACCCTTCCCCTATGGAAAGCTTGCTGTTAACAGTAAGATACATGTATACAAGGGCATGATATACCATAGTCAACTAGGGGCCGTTGTATGTTGCCAATCAAGCATGAACTTTCAAAAATACGTTTCCGAACATTGGCCAGTCAAGCAGAATATTTCGGATTCATGGCCTGTCCCAAGCAGCCTCAGCCAGAGTTTACTTTAAATGAACCTATCCTATATGTAGCTACATGTAGCTGATTAAGGTGTAGCCATGTAGGTATCGGAATTATTAACACCCTTGTATCCATATATTAGCTTTCTTCCATGTAAATGTCTCGGCCCTCCATTTAGAGGACCGACCTTCTACTCGTAGCTACCTAAGACCCTTAAAAAAGAAAAAAGGGAAACAAAAGAGATGAGCTCCATTCAAATCTTGGCAGGAGATTTGTTAGGCTCGTAGTATAGTCTAATGCATACAGTACATGTATTCTTCTAACTTAATTATTTCACCCATTTGGGGAGTAATGTAGGATTGAATGAAGTGGGGTTGAATGCAGTTGGATTGAAGAGCATGCGTGTACATGCTAAGTACACATTAAATATTATTGACCTCAAGTTTGGGTAACAAAGGCATTAATTTCGTTAAGGAATTGGTATATTAGAACAAAGAACCGTGAGACACCAGGTGTAATCATGCATTACTCTTGCATGCACATTTCTAAAGAAGAAGAAAAAGTACGCACTCTCTAAATCTTGGTGCCACCGAGGATATCCGCAAGTTCATCAACGACAGCATCCTTTCTCTGGGGCACTTTCTTCTGCTCTTCATCTTCCGCATCCTTAACAATATCCTCTTTCTCATCGTCTTCCTCCTCATCTTCACCTTCATCCTCATCCTCGTCTGATTCTTCTTCTAGCTCGTCGAGCTCATCTAGCTCTCCAAATCCTCTATTCTCGAAGATTTCCCTCAGCGCACTAATAGCGGCATCATCCTCTGAGAACTTATTGCCATTAAGCTCCATGAGTCTCAGCGCGGGAAGTGACTGCTTAACAGCACGTTCGAGCGCTTCAACACCCTTGGCGTCAATTTCGTTGAACTGCAGCCTTAATGTTTTGATCGCCTTGTTCTTTCCCTGGCCCAAAGCTTCAGCCAGTATAGCTCCCCCCCGCGCGCCCAACAAACAATCACCGACAGCCAACTCCACCATATCTGACCAACCAGTTACAACTGTGGCCAAGGCAGTAGCACCATAGGATGTGAATGTGTTATCCTGTAAGTCGACTGTCTCAAGCCCGGCACATTTTGAGAGTCCATCTCTCAATAGCTTGTCGATTCCCTCTTGCCTGATACCGTTTTGTACCATCTTTACTGTTCTAAGTGTCTTATGCGCAGCAAACGCAGCAGCCCATGCATCCATGGACCCGTTTTCAAGTCTGTTACGACCACAAACAATTGTTTCGAGTGGGGGGAATGAAGAGTTTGTAGCTTTGAGAGAGGCAAGGTCCCTGATGGCATTAGCGACTATGGTACCGCCAGCAGGACCGAGCCCGTTGTTATTCAACAAAAGATGGCGCAGGGGCCCTGCTTTAGAGTAGAAATCGCGCAGTGGTTCAGCCAGACGGCCGCCGAAGGCGTTGTCGGATAGATCTACAGTGTGGAGATGCGGCAGGTCTAGGAGAGGGGTGAGGAGGGCGGTGAGAGCATCTGGGATCTCGGAAATAAGGCGACCAGTAAAGATATCATCTGCTTTGAATACCTGGGGAAGTTAGAGTGGTTAATGATAATAAGAGAGCATATGAGATAGACCTTGAGATTTCTGTTTGACTTGAGAATTTCACCAAGAGCTCTGCAGGCTTCGATTCCAAGGGTGTTTCCGCCGAGTCTTATCTCTTCCACAGTAGTGTTTCCTTTAAGAGACAAAATGTAGGGTTCGACGTCGATCTAAAGGCGGTTTAAGAGAACTATTAGTTCATCAATCCATGTATTTCAAATTTCCGCCCAGGTTCTCTTCGAAATCTTGCTTCAATAAAGGAAGGTAACTGACTGCGGTGTCAAGCTTAAGTGGCTTGCCATCTTTGGACTTGAGAATGAATATCTTGTCACTCATATCGATATATCTTCGGTTTAATCTCTTTCCTGTAGTTAAGTGGCTAGGGCAGTGGCGTTTGCTTGTTTACGAGACGTTCAAAGGGAAAAAGGGGTTTATTAACGGTGGGGTACGTATTTTTCTAGGTGGGGTTTTTTTCCCACGTGCTCACGATTATTGCCCCCTTCCAATTACCCGGTCGGGTGCCAAGAACTGAGGCTTAAAATCTTTAATTTCACTTCCTAGGCTTTTCAGGGTTCATATCCAGCTCCATTTGATGACCTTTTATAGGCACCTATGTCATCACTCGTTGCAAGGGACGGTTTTTGGTGTCTGTTTCCGGGTTCTTATTATCTGGAACGATCTCCGGAGGGCCGAAGATTCCCAAAGTTTGTTAACGGCACACAGCATACGGCAGTTACCGGTGTTTGGAGGTCCTCACATCTCGGGCCCAGGTGAGAAACCAACAAAGGTTTTTGGGCGACCTGAGCTATCTCTCGGTCCCTTTACATATCTCTTCTTGAATTCGGAAGATTTTCAAACCATTATGTACGGTGGGCGACAAGTGTTTGGTTGGTCGGGGAAGCCTGTAGATACACGGATGTCCGTCATCCACTGTCGGCAATTCGATGTTACCCCTTGCGAGGGCCTTGGCTACCAAATATGATCCCGACGCCGTGTAACTCCCTCAAACCGCGTGTCCGGCCATGGTAGAACAAGCACCAGTGCCTGCAGAGCTCGTACTACATGTACATGTAGTTTCACAAATAACTGCGTGAATAAATAAAACTCAGTATCGATATATCATACAGTGGCATGGCCTTCATTGACGACAATTTGCAATTACTCCCTAAAGCTTCAGTCCGAACCTAGCGTCGGAACTCGACCCTGTAAGGCTAGTCAAAAACTAATCCCAATCATGTCCCTTGCAGCAATCATCCGGGGACACGGCCATGAATAGATCTTACATACTGCTGGTGTCTCGTACGAGTAATATACTCCGTAAGTGCTATAACAGTCGACTAATGATGTGGTTGACCATGATCACAGGAAGTTCTTTTAAACGGGACGAGGAACATTAGGATCGAGGCAGGAGGATATCTAGAGGTTTACGTGCGTACATCGATGCAGGCACCGCCGACCAACCAATCAAATACAGGAGCAGCGATATTCTGAGCATACAATAGAGTACATGTAGCACATGAGGTTTTTCCGAAAACCCAACTCCATAATATCAATACTAAGCATAAGCCACTTTGCTTGCTGCACTGCAAGGCTAGAAGCCGTTAGGTGAGGATCGACGACGTTACGTGTTCTGTGTGTTTGCTTGCTTGCTTGCACATCCAGTCGCTTACTTGCTTACTTCGGCAGGCAGGGGGTTTCAGGGCCTATCGTCGATGATGAGAAGACGCGTGCATGCTTGTGTCACCATTCTATTTTTTGAGAGAGTAAGTGCAAATGCTGGGTGAGCCCAGCCAGTCAGTAAGTCAGGTCAAGAGAGAAGAATAAAAACGCGATTTCCCGCCAACGCTTGTTTCTCGTAGTATTGAGTTCAGAGAGAAATTTACCCCTTGTTTTCTGGTTTTGTTTCAAACATTTTTTTCTCTTAGTTTCTACTGTCTGTTGCTGTTGATACCTTTGCTCCGTTCGTCTGCATGATACACAGGCATACGCTCCACATTCTGCATATCCTACATAAGAGCTCCATCTAAGACAATCAGGACGATCCAAGACTCTCTCTGCCTACTACCGAGTAGCCCATCCATCACACAGTACCCGCTTACCCTACATACAACCACCACCACCCCTATCATTCCCCTTAACATCATTCCCCTCCCCCACCCCACCGGTTCCGAATAATAATCCCATTCACAATGGCACCCAATGGAATTCCTCACCTTCAGCTGCCCACACTGGCTCCTCTAGAGCCCCTCACCTCTGGCACTAACCTACCCCACGTCCCCGCTGGAGAGCTGATTCCTACTGAGAATACCACAAGAGACCCAAGGCCTCCACCAACGCCTACGTCTCTCGATGCCTCCCCCACGACGCCACCACAGTCCCCAGGACGCCCTACATCTATGCGTCGTTTTCTCTCCCGCGTCTCCCTAAACTCTTCATACACTCACGAAGACGACGACAAATCTTCCATTCTCTCAGGGCCCCTATCTCCAACGGCATCAGTCATGTCACGCGACAGCAAAAGAAAGGTTTCTGGGGGCAAGAAAGGGTCTTGGTGGAAAAAATCCAAGAAAGAAGATAAAACTCAGAATCTTCCAAGACTTCCACCTGTCGCTGCTGCTGCCGCGACTATGATTGCTGCTCAGGTTGCTGCCCCAGCTCATACCGAAAGCTCCCCAAGTAGCTCTCCTACAAACTTAACTCGTACGAAGACGGTGCAATCCATTGCTCCACCCCCGAGGTTGCCGGACGATCTCTTTGATAGTGGATTCTCGAGCTTGGATAGCGATATGTTCAAGAATTTCAAATAGAACACCAGCGGCGATGATAGGCGGGTACATGGAATGTTGAACCACGAGGAGGATTGAGGGCTTTATTTCCTTGCTTTTTCTCTTTTTTTTCTTTTTTTACATTGTGTCTTTTTCGGACCCCCTCCCTCTCCCCCCTATTTCTTCATAATGGAAAAGGGAGCACAATCAGTACTATCATATGCCCTTATTGAAGTGATTTCAAGGTTGCTCGAATAATTCATATCCAAGATATGGGATAAGGGATGTTTTCGGTTATGTTGCTTTCTCTCTTTCCTATATCTTTTTTTTAAAACAACTTCATTATTGCACTTCTTTTGAAAAGATCTATTAGCATTTAGGAAAGAAGTTTGCTTCTAGGGGATATTGTGGGAAAATCGTCGGGTACGGCGTTCTCTTGGGGATTAGGCTTAGCTGTGTTTTTTTCTTTCTTTTTCTTCTTTTTATATATTCTTATCGGGTATGGTATGGAAGGGTAGTATTTTTCTTTTTCTTTTACTTTTGTAAGCACCTAATTATCTTTTGCTGCCTTGTATCACGGAGCTGATTTCCCTGAATTAGCTTCTGTTCTTTGTTTTATGATGAAGCATTGTGTTTCCTTTTTACAGTTATTTGTTGTGCTCCTTTCCTAAGCTGCGTATCTACTTTCAGTTTTATACCATACAAATGTTCCCCACCCTTCATTAATCATTTGACTCAAATTAGGTTTGCAATGGCCTATCTGTTTGCATCGCTTTATCTTCTATGGTCCGCACCCTCATTTACCTCTATTTAACCAATCGGAGCACAAGATGATACAAGGGCTATTCTTTTTTCCACTATCGTCTTTGAGCTTAAACGGCATCGTGATGATGTTTTTATGTCCGTGAGCCAAGTTGGATTATAGTGGGCGGGGTATTTTATGGGTTGGGGTGTAGTGTAATTCAGATATGACGCCTCGAGATATTTGCGGAGAAGCAGGGTATATATATTCAATGAAAGATGCTAGAATGATCATTTCCATTGATAACCTAGGTGCATGCAGGTGCGGCAAGGATGTTGCCACCGATGCCGCTGTCATGAGAGCTGACGAATCGGGTATTATTGTTCCCGCCTCGTGTGGGGGGCTATTTTTCAGAAAGTTGCATGGATGTGACATTGTCATTTCTAGATCGAACACATTTATAGATCGAATACAAGCGAGGTTTATGGGTACTTCAGAGAAGCGCGGTTGAACTTGGGTGAGGTATTCTTCTGGCGGTCACATAGGTTTAGATGGTTACAGTTAGTTTCCTGCCGTTTTTGATGTGGTAGTACATCCGAGTGATCTGTGGTGATTTCATTAATGTTAATCAACTACATATGTACGTGCTCACGAAGATTTCCAGGGTACGATTTCCCATCAGGCTACATGTATTTACTCCATATGGAGAGACGGTTATGAAATGCAATTAATGAATTAAATAAAAAAAAAAAAAGAGACGGTTATGAACCACCTAGCCCAACAATCCCAAGACCCACATGAAAATTTGGTATCTGTATGTCGCGCAGCGCGGGATAAAAACGAAGCGGCGCTACTTGAACTGCAGAACTGGATTGTGCGCATCCATGTCTATTACTATTCTAGCGCAAAAGAGAAGATTTGAAAGGAGGGGGATTCGAACCCCCGCGGGCTAGGCCCATGAGAAACCTCGCTTTTTTAGAAGCAAGAAAGTAGTAATTACTTGAGTCACACACCTTAACCACTCGGTCATCCTTCCTTGCTAGTCTCGATGCAGAATTAACTATAATAGATCATTATTTGCACTAATCATGCCAGGAAATCATTCAAATGGCTTGAAAAACTGTGGGAGAATTACCCGTAAGTGAGATCTAATATTGTTTCGAAACATCAATTCTCCCATAAGAATTTCTGTTATGATCTGTGTCTTGGCCCCCACGAAAAAAACGCCATCTTAAGGAATCGTCAGTCTAGACCCTTTTTGTGTTAGCGCAAGTCGCATGGATACATGTAATCACTCGCATGCCTCGATCGATAAGCGCAACCAAAATTCCGTTTCGTCCCCTTGCTGCTCGGGAAACAAGCTTTGGGGACTGGGTTTCCCAAGTTGCCTAATCGAGCATCCTGGGACGCAACGCCAAGGGGATGGTCTTTCTCGTGCTGTTTTTTGCTGGTTGCATACAAGACGGCGGATTGCTTTAGTTTTTTTAATGGCTTGGATAACGCATCGGATATGGACTCTGATGTCTCGGATGATACTGAGGAATTGGACGGCGAGCTCACTCAACTCGCACCTGGCATGATAATGGAAAGGTACATGTACGTACTCTCTTGGTTTGGGAAGATAATTTGACTGATGGAAGACATAGTGAACAAAAGAGGAATAGCAACGGGCTGGAGAGTGGAAGGAAGGAAAGAGGTTCAATGTTTCTAGATTTAGAATCGAAGTTTGCTCTGTCTTATTTACTTCTGTGTTGTATTCTTTGAGGGTCTAGGGGGGCGCTAGCCCCTTCCAGGTATGGAGCGAGGAACGAGCGTCACTTTTAGTATATGGTCTCGCGACGACGGAGCGATGGGATTAGTAACGGAGTGACTCGTGAGAGTGGGAACGGGATGGAATTTACGCCTAGAGGGATGGAGCGTTCCCAGAGTTGGAGGGTTTTATCTTGTTTGTGAGCTATCGATTTGTATTATATTTGAAGCTTTTGCATCAGGTAAATGATACTTATCGTAAACACATTGTTTGAACACCGAATCAACTCGCATCAAAAATCAAAAAAGTACGCAATATATACTTGAAATAATCAGTTATCCCCTCTCGGAAGAAACTACTACATAGCAAGGCTCAAATAGAGCTAGAAAGTAAATACAACTCCTGGTATCCGGAAAACATAGATGCAAGCCTGCCTGTTATTCCCCACTCCGATCGCTCCCAAATGCTAAAAAAGAAAGAAATAAAGAAATAAAGAAATTCAGGCCCAGTCCTTAATTCTAAGAGATGCCCCACACAGGAAAGGCAGAAGGAAATCAGGCTTTTCAGATCCATCAGCTCGTGTGCGCACCATCTGGGGGATGCCAATGATTTAGGAATCAGCTGGCATTCCATTCTCTAATAAATCGTGCAACTCATCCAAACTGCTGACAGTTTCAGCTGGATTTGCAACCCATACAGTAGTTCCGGCCATGCGTGCCTTAAAGTCGTTGTGCCCTGCGCTTAAAAATTGGTCTCCGATGTGTAAGGTTTCGCTCCCCTTGATTTCACCAAAGAATCTCTGGCAACAAAGTACACCCAATCTCTTGTCGCCTATATCGACGAAGACATCGTTACCACCATTGAACGCACAAAACGGTAGTCTCCGCCCAACTTCACTAAGCTCCAATGTCTTTTGAACGGCAAGAACAGCTTCCTCGAGTTGTTCCCGCTCAAACTTGGCACCAGCAACAATTGGAACAATCCCTACAGCGCGTGCTTTACGCAGGACAGTGGCTTTCAGTGACATAGTCGATACCGACTCTAAGAGAGCGGTCTCGGCGATGTCAAGGAGCTTTTGGATATCTTCTTCTGTCCAAAGGCGCATTTCATCGAGTGCCCATACATCACGAGAAACACCTGAGAGAAGAGTATCTGAGGTTGCGTCGAATTTGAATAAGTAAGATGATTCACCACCGAGGATGATAAGGTTTTTACGTTGTTCGTCTGTAAGGAGTGGAGATGTATTGATAGCCTCAAGAAGGCCGTAGAGACGCTCCTTATACCGAGCACTGTCAGTGTAGCCTGCTGCCGTTACAATTCCAATACAGAGACCTTTGGACATGAGGTGGATTATCCGCGGGATCACTGGGTTCTGGGGAGAGAGGCAATGTCCGTCATCATAGAGGGTCACATCTCCGTCGAAAGTGACAAGTCTGAGGGGACCATTTTGGGTGGTAAGCGACATTATTTGTGCCGTGTTGAGAATCAGTCGGATATCATTG